TATTTTTCTAGAAGTTTTAATAAAAAGCAAAAGATTTTTGATGTAAGGAGAAACCAGAGTATCTCATAGTTATAGTTTTATATGATTTATAAATTATGTGATTTATATGAATTTTCTATTACCTTTTCTCACTAAATTATATTAACTCCATATCTTAGGTTGGGTTCTCAAGAAGCAGACCCTGAGAGGGAAACAGTGGGCAGCAGGTTTATTAGGGAAAGCTTTTGGAATCACAATCCGTAGAAGGAATGGGAAGAGACTGGGACTGGGTAGGAGTTGGGTTGTGAAACAATCTCAACAAAGTTCTCCGCTAAGCCATGGGAAACTCTGAAGCTGGTTGGCCTTTCCAAATTGTCCCAAACTAGAGCAAGAGGGTCAGGTCTTTGTTGCCCAGTCATTGGATGCAGGTTGTCCAAACAAGGGGGTATGACTTTGGATGCAGTGACTGTCTTTGACTGAGGCAATTCTGGAAAGGACTGACAGCCAGGGCCGGCTTCATGGTTGTGCAGTGTGGGTAGTCCCACAGGGCCCCATGCTTAGAAGGGCCCCATACTTGGTTTAATATTCTGCTGTCACTGTCTTAAAATTCTTAATAGTGTTTGATCAGGGAGCCCTGCATTTTCATTTTTCACTGGGCCCTACAAATTATGCAATCGATCCCCCTGGCAGTGGAGGGCTGCTTGTCTGCGGCACTCTTTGAAGCGGGGCTGATAAGCCCTTCAGTCCTGATGTGAGGTCTGGGTGGTAGATCACAGTGTTCACTACAGTGCACCCCTGGCTTGAGGCCATTTCTTTGTGTAAGTTCTGGGGATACTCTCCAGGATTCCAGGGTAGCCTCTCTTCCTGGAAGCAACTTATAAGAAGCAAATTAGTGGGACAAACTACAGTGCTCAGCACAGCAACTGGTTTTGGGGCTACAATCAATCATCATCATCTTCCTCCTTTACTATCCATTTTAGGTTTCCTTCACCCTTAGCTAGCACTTCCGCTGGTCTCAGTGACTTACCTGGTGATGAAACCCAGCCCTTGATCCTTAAAGGTTCTGAGTACCTGGTCCCTACAATATTTTTATGCTGATCATGGCTGCTACATCTGTCCATTTATAAAAATATTAGGTGAGAGAGTACCAAGAGGTGCCCGAGTAGATTGCCTGGATACCAACATATGCCTCCTTGCTTCTACTGTGTAACAACAGCCCTACCTCCTCTTTATGATCAGATCAATTATCCCTACCGGAATGGTGACTTCTCTTTTTGCCTGCCACTTTCTTGGCACAAGGAGCCTGAAGTACCCAGACAACAGATGTAGCTTATAATTCAATGAGACCCCTGAGACTCTTCCTGGGCCTCACTGAACTGTAAGCTACATCTGCTGATGGAGATGTTTCAGCCTTGGGAAGCAGAACCTCTAAACTACAGAGCCCAGCGTATGGAAACAAGAAACAAATTCCCTAAGAGAATCACTGGGAATGATAGTAAGCAAGGCCACTCCTGCTTCCATTCCTTGATTCCTGGAACCGTGTATCCAATTGATAACACAGCACCAAATAAAGGTCATTATCTTGAAGGATGGTGCCCACTTTAGCTATGCCTTCAAGAGGTTATTCCATCCCTCTGTCAGGCTAGAAGCTTCTGGGTGATGAAGTATGTGATACGGGTCATCTGCCCACTCCTGTGCCTCCTTCACTGTAATGTAGATCAAACACTCAAAGCTCTCAGGGATGCTGGCTGAGGCCCTGCAGATAGGAAAGGTGAATCACCTAGAATACATGTATATTCCTGTCAGAATGAATCACTGCCTATTGCTGGGACCACCGTAAGTTAACTTGCCCCCAACTGGCTAATTGGTCTCCTTGAGGAATGGGGACTCTGCCTTGGTCTCTGTTGCTAGCAGGCTGAACAGTCAGCAGTGGATGTTCAGATGGGCCTTAGTATATGGGAGCCCATCCTACTGGGTCTGTCCACAGCCTCCAATTTTGCCACAGCCCTGAATCCTATAGGTCTTTCAGGATGGCATTAATTTCTGCATTCCTTGGAATGCAATATTATTTTTTACTTACTATCTCAGCGTGGGGAATGGATCAGTTTCTAAAGCTTCCACCTACAGTTTCTAAAAGCTTCCACCTAGCCTTTATCACTATGATAGCTCTTACCACACAGGCCAAGGAACCAGTGTGAGGATTGTGCCACTAACCAAATACGTTTTTCACAATTATATACTCAGGGACCAGGTGAGTCTGGGGATATATCGTGAGCTGGACCTGGGCCAGGATGCTCATGTATTGCTCGGCCTCCATAATGCTCACTCTAATAGGGGGCACATAATGACATTTCAAGTCTGCGGGTTTCATTGTTGACTCAGACCCTGCATCCAACAGATAACAAAATGTTGAGTATTCCTCTCTCACCACTGTATGGTTCCCTGAGTAATGGTTATAGGACCCTTTGGAGAAGGACTCGGGTAATCCTTATTGTGTACACTTGTGGTATTGCAGGATCCTTCCTCCTGGGGACCTGGACCCTTAGTTAATGAGTCTGGGTGCAATAACTAGCTCAGGTCTGGAAATTGAGTGTGGGGTTATGATATTTTTATTGGGGTGATTGCCCTCAGCCTCCTGATCATTCATCTTGCACAACTTAGCAGTATCCCTGCTGTCTGACCATTTATATCTTCCTGGCTGGACCCTCCACTTGTTACAATTGCATCCACCTGTCTTCTGAAGTTGCCAATGGCATAAACCTCTAACGTTTGGGTGTCCCACCATGTCCATTGGTCTCAGTGAGCCCAGGTCTGTAATGGCATCTCCTACTTTCATTCCTGGCCTGCAACAGAGAAGCACTACTGAACTTCCTAGCCCCTCTCACTAGCATGTTCTTGTTGCTTTGGTAAATGCAACATCTGGGCCCTCCCACAGAATGCAGCCATTTGTTGAGTTTTCCAGCTTCACACAGTATATTCACTCTGGCATGCCCACTTTTGCCATGGCAGTTCTGGGATTTCGCTCTCATTGTGTGGGCTGTTTTTACATGCTTCTAGGAACCAACCTAACTGCATGTGTACATCACCACCCTGATCTTTGCCAGGATGTTAAATTCAGTATCCTGGGAGTGTGCTGCCAAACTGATAAAAGCTCTCCCTTATCCAACTTCATGTTTGGACCTCTCCTCTGACCCCTTACCCTCACCGTGAAGCACTGTCAATATTCAGTCCCCTGCATATTCTCCCAGCCACTGCTGGTATGTGTCCACTAGGTCCTGCAGCTCTTTTCAGGGTATATTACATTTTCTCCCTTAACGGGTCTACATGTCTCTGATTGGGTTGTGATTTAACTTTTTTATTGGCTTAAGGAAGTGGGGGGCAGATTCTGAGGAGTGTATATGTTGTCCTAGGAGAGAGAGATCTGTCTTCAAGCAAAGGAAGGAAGGGGCACACTAGCCCTTATTAGGGAAGAGTGGGGCACTTTTGTAGCCTTAAAAGGCTTGGGAAACCTAAGTATTCAAAATTTTCAGGTGCGTCAACCCAGATTGTCCCATCCCATTTGTCAGGGTTCCATTTTTCCCAACCAGGGCCCAGACCTCAGCATAGCAGACCTGCCTAGGTTGGGTTCTAACTTCTCTGAACTTCTGTTAGTCTCATGACTATGTCCTGGGCCTGGTCCTCAGAATTTTTCCCCACTAGCTTCAGGAGATGAGTCTCATGTGCCATGTGCTACCTTCTGGCTTTTACACTTAGCTTTTTTTGAGGGGCGGGGGGCGGCACCTGGCCAGTACAGGGAACTAAACCCTCGACCTTGGCGTTACAAGGCCATACTCTAACCAACTGAGCTAATTGGCCAGCTCCAACACTTAGCTTTTGATCACCAATGAATCTTTTTCTCAGGTATCAAGTTTAGCTTAGCAATAGCCCATCAATTCCACTGGCCTTACTGTTTCCTTCCATATTTCTTAACCGCCTAATATACTGTGCCCAGCAGTGCATTCCTTTTTGCTGGCATGCCATCCCAGTTCATTATTGGTGAAAGTTTTAACAACTGCACTGTCATGGTGTGCTCTACCTACCACCAGTGAGGGTGGTCTCATCCTATAAACCAGATGGCAGGAGACCCAGCTCCAAAATCCCACTGGAGTATCTGCTTTCTTGCACCACTTCTGGTACCAAATGTCACAGGTTAGGCTCCCTGGGAAGCAAACTTTGAGATGGAGATTGGTGGGCAGGAGGTTTATTAGGGATTGCCCCCCCCCCCGCATCCCCAGGAAGGAAAGGAAGCTCCACTGGGCAGAGGGAGAATATGTTATGATGCAATCCCATTTCGTTCACCCCTCTGTTAAGGTTCCTAACCAATCTAACTAGTCATACCTGTTAAACATATTAGGTTAGTTTCCCAAATGGGCTGAACTGGCAACTATGCCATAGTCATCTTTATAATGTCAGTTCTAACACATGATAGGCATCCAGTAAGTGATAAATGAATTAGAAAGATGAAGACAAAAACAGCCAAGTATGATGGTAATACTAACACAATAAATTATTGAGCACTAATGTGCCGGCACTACAGTGGCCTCTGGGGATACACTGTTGACGCACATTACGTAATTTAATGAAGAACTCCTCCTCTGCTCTCAGGGAGTGCTGTGATGTGCCTCTCAGATTTCCATTCAATCCTGGAGGACTTAGTTCTTGGCTTCTGAGAGTGCTGCCAGCAGTCAGCCCTCAGCTGTCAGATCTCTTCAGAACTGCCCTGATGAGAGTCACCTCACCTGAGGTCACAATTCCTTCCTGGCGCAGCCTGCATTCAAAGACTAGTCCCACTGCCCCATATTAGGACAACCCGAAAGGCCATCCTAGCTTCAAAATTCTGTAGGGTCGGCTGAGGCCGCCTTTCAGAAGTAAACTAGAGATATGTAAATAATAGAATATCCACATTAAAATGTTACTCACAAGAATGGCTAAAAAGAAGCGACCAAAGTCAAGTCAGTGGCTCTTCAATAAAATGAGCAGAACCCTATTAGAACAGGTCTTTATTACATGGATTCGAATACACAGCAGACCAATCATGTTCCCTGAAATTTAACAATCACATTCATTAAAAGCCTTTTAGTGCTGTCTCTCAATACTCTAATTCTAAAAGGTTTCTTTTGAGTTCCTTTTACAAAGTCTTGCGTGAAGAAGAGTTTAAGCACCAGTAAGAAAGACTGTTGCTAACAGTAGTTTTATTTCATCATCAACAACAAACATGCAGTTTTTTCCTCCTATGTGCATGGCACTGAAAAATGGGTGCTACACTTTGCCTTGTGGTACAAAGTTTATAAATCCAATATACCAATACAAAGTTGAAGCCATTAAAAAGAGTTTAATAACAACTACTAGGAGATAATTAAAACGAGTGTTGATGTAATCTATCAAGAGATTTAGAAACAACACATAAACTCAAACATTACAGTAAATGTTTTACTTGGGAAGGGGCGAGATGGGAATTTTTTATGTGCGACTGAAGTGATTTCTAAGTTGCTCCAAGTTTACTTTCTCTCTGCTATTATCTTTAAATACTGCAAAGCATTGTGAGCTGCATCACTTTGTGCATTGCCGCAGGAGATACCAGAGCCATGACAGACTGTGATGGGACTGGTCGAAAGTTCTGCGAGACACTGATACTGTCCGTTGGCACTCAGTTCTTCTGTAATGACATATTCAAACATGATGCTTAATGCCAAGTGTGTATAAAGCAGATCCTTCGTAAAAACAACACAGTTTTTATTACTGTCTTTCTCTTTAAGCATCCATGGTATACTACTCCACTTACCCATCAACTTTGTTATGTTTGTATGAACAAAAAAACCCAAAACGACTGCTCAGGTATAGCAGTAGTTCTCAAACACATTGTGGGAACCTTAAAGAAATACAGATGTCTAGTCTCTCTCTCTAGTCCACTCAATCAGAAATGCAGGGTTGGTGGCTGCAGGTGGTTGATTCCCACATTTTAAAGAAAGCTCCCAAGGAAATGCTAATGTGGCTAGTTCAACAGTGTTTGCAAATTACTGAACGATAGCAACTTTGTTAAAAGAGAAAGAACTATTTGCTGGAGGACTGCATTGTATTTTCCACCAGGAAGTCATTTTCAGTAGGCATTTAAACCAGGAAATAATCTTGTTCAGAGCAAGACCTCCCTTGTGCAGAGAGTATGGTTCTCTCTATATATTGTAAATGGGTTATGATATTTTAAAAAAAATGCCTGAACCCAGGAAACAAATACTCTTCTCAATAATTATTACTAAAGATGGTTGAAATGGGGCAAGGAGAAGTAGAAACAGGTGGGATATGATTTATTCAAAGTAATCATATTTAAATGCTATTATTTTAGCTATTTGATTTAGTGGAAAATATCCAGATACAATGGGATTATTTAATGAGCGAAGAGGCTTTCTAGTTCTAGCATCTAGGCTTCTTTTTCTTTTAAATTGAGGCAGAACTCAAATAAAATTAACCATTTTAAAGTAAAAAAATCCAGTGGTATTTAGTACACTCACCATGTTGTGCAACCACCACCTCTATCTAGTCCCCAAACATTTTTATTACCCCGAGAGGAAACCTACACCCATTAGACAGTCACTCCCCATTTCTACCTCCCCCTGCCCCTGACAACCACCAATCTATGTTCTGTCTCTAAGGATTAACCTATTCTGGATATTTCAAATAAGTGGAATCATATAATGTGAACCTTTTGTGTCTTGACTTCTTTTACTAAGCATAATGTTTGTGAGGTTCATCCACATTGTAGCATATATCAGAACTTCATTCCTTTTTATGGCAGAATAATATTCCATTGTATGTATATTCCACAATTTGTTTCTCTACTCATTCGTTAGTAGACAATTGGGCTGTTTCCACCTTTTGCCTTTTGTGAATAGTGCTGCTGCGAACATGTGTGTACAGGTATTTGTTTGAATACACTTTTCAATTCTTTGGGTATATACCTAAGATTGGAGTTGCTGGGTCACATGGTAATCCATCTGAGGAATTAAAAACTTTTCTCATGGTGGCCTAACCATTTTACATTCCCATCAGCAATGTAAAAGTTTCCAATTTCTCTATATCCTTGCCAACACTTTACTGTTTTCCATTTTCTTGATTATAGCCATTTCGGTGGGTGTAAAGCAGTACCTTATTGTGGTTTTGATTTGCATTTTCCTACTGACTGATAATGTTGGGCATCTTTTCATGTGCTTTTTGGTCATTTGTGTACTTTCTTTGAAGAGTATCTAGGTTCTTTCAAAGGTAGCTATATAGATGCTACACAGACTGGTTTTTAGACTGCTGTTCTATAATTTACAAAAACTCTTCAGTTCTTAAAATTGGTAAGAAGTGTTTCAAAGGCATCATTAATTCATAATCTAAAAATTCATCTCAGGTTTCCTTCTTTTCCCAGATTCTATATCTTCCATAGTCCATTCATGATACGGCTCATTCATCCCTGGATCTCAAAGCCTCAGGAAACTGTAAACACTAATAAATATGTATTGAATGAATGGTCTCTCATCAGCCACCTTTTCTGACCATCTGTCTGCACTAACTTCCTAGGTTCTGCATCATTCTCTGTTTATCATTCAATCCCAAAGTAGCGGTTCTTTCAGACCTGATATGCTAAGCACCCTACTTCCTCAGTGCTAGTAGCTCTAACTATATCTCAGTGAGGTTGGAATAGGAATATCAAATTCTTCACACTATATGCTGATGTTAAATCAAGACACCAAACACACACACACGCATACAATTAACCAGCTTATAAACTGAATTAAAAGAAAATCCACATTAATTTGCCTTCCCATCTGTGTGTATTTGTCTATCTAAACGACTAAGGGCTGGAGAAAATACAGACAATCATAGCTGGGATGGGATAAAGCTACAAATTGAATTGTCTCCATTTACCTCCTAGAATTGGCACACAGTGACAAAGTGAAGAGGCCTGGCCCCCACATACTTGGTACTTGTGCTAGAAATGTGGGTGCCTTTTCATTTGCCAAATTACTCAACAGGGCAAGTTTAACAACTAGTGTATCTGCTGGGACTCTTCCCCTAATCTTGCTCTACCACTGAGTAGCTAGGTGATCTTGGGTACATTTCTCAATCTTTCTGTGCCTTACTTTCTTCACTTATAAATAAGGATAATAAAAATTATTTCATAGAGTTTGTCTGAGAATCCAGTAAGTTGATATACGTAATGTCTTTAGAACAGTGTCTGGCACACAGTAAAACTCTGTAAATCTTATCTGTTGTTTTTATGATGTAGGCTATTAATGCTATCCACAAGAATGAGACATCTAATTATGTATATTACTGCTCTGGTAATTATAGATAATTAGAATCTCTGATCAATGAAATAAGTTATAAAAGAAATTTTTGTTTTTCAAACACATTTTAAAAAGAAAAATGTCCTGGAAGAAGCCAAAGAAAAAAAAAATCATACCTATATCCAAATAAGTTATATTAAAACCTTGTTCCTTGGCAATTTCACTAAGCATCTGGATGTGATCAATATTTGGAATACTAAGGAGGCTTCTTTTCAGTAAGTTGATCTTTTCACCAGGAGAATTCCTCAGAGAATGCCAGGTACATCCTAAAGAATGTCCTACTACATTTGTCTGAAAAACAGAGATGAATATTTAGACACTTCATTAGGACTGGGTTCCAACACCAGTACCAGTAGAATTAAAAGTATAGTACTTATTAAGCACTCACATTTAATCCTTTAAAAAGCATGTTTAAATAGATACCATTTGGTCAACTTTTCAATTTAAACTAGACAACACTAACAAGTATATACATTTGACAAATATAACAATATTTAAAAAAAGAAAAAGAAGAAGCCCTTGCAACAATATGCTGAAGTATTTAAAAATACTTTTTTGAATGGTACAAAGGTTTCTCAGTGGAATTTTCTGATGGTCCCATTAAGAGGTATAAGATATTAGAGAGAACCATAAGCAAATCTGCAAAAAAATGAATCTGCCTAAAGGGGCAATTTACAAATTAAAATAGGAAATTATGGTTTTTTGTATAAATATCAATCATTATAACTGACAGCTGTAAAGCAGAAAACAAAAATAATGGTAGAAACGTAAAATATGCAAGTTGGGTTTGAGAAGAACAAATTCAAATGAATGGTAGGATGTCAAAAAGTTCTTATCAGACTTATATCCCAGAACCTAACTGAGTTTATTTTCCTCCTTTTTCTTTCTTCTCTTCCTCTTTCCTTTATTCTCCCCTATATCCTTCCCTTTTCATCTCTGGTCTTAGAATGCTTGACATTTCTACATTAGTTCATGGCTCTCAAATTGTTTCCATAAGTCATTAATAAAAACAACTACTTTCTGAAGTAGGGTAACTAACCTTAGTCTTATTTTATTAATGAGCCTGAGAGAGGTGAAGGGATTTTCAAAAGATCATAGGAATGGGCATGATATAGAATTTCAAGTGATTTGTTCCATTTAGAAAATAAAACACATTCCTTGATTGGAAATTTTAAAAGTACTATTAAAATCATATTAATTCACATGGTAAAAAATACACATGCAACAAGAACAAATATATAACGAAAAGTCTCTCTTCCTTACCACCCCTTTCCCGAAGACTTCTGTTCTACTCCCCAGAGGTACTCGCTGTTAAACATTTACTTCAGTGTCTTTTCATAATTGTTCTATGCAGATGCAAGCACATACACATATATAATTTTTTAAACAAAAATGATAATTTACTCTTCTACATCTTGTTCACTTTTTCTCATATTAGCACACATAATGCACTATATTTATCTTATCAGTCTCCAACTATGGGTTTTAGATTATTTCTGCCTTCTTGCTTTTACTAAAAGTGCTGCAATAAACTGTTTTGCACTTGCATGAGGTTCTCTGTAGAATTATTTCTAGAAGTGAAACTGCTGAGTCAAAGAACATGTGTGCTTTAATTTTGATAAATACTTCCAAGCTGATTTCTGAACCAATCTGTACTCCCACCAGTTGTCTTGGAGGGTACTTGTTTTCTCACAACCTCGCCAATACTGGGCATCCTCAAACTTTGTGATTTTTGACAATCTAAAAGGTTATCTTATCTTGCATAAATGAAGTTGAATGTTTTCTTTTCTTCTCTAATCATCTGTACTTCTTCTATAGGGCTGTCTTTTTTATTGATGTGTAAGAGCTTTATATGTAGTACTGAAAACAACCCTTTATAGTCATGAGCTGAAAATGATTTCTTCCCACTCTGTTTTTATTCTCTTGATTTTATTTATAGACTTTCTGCTGTACAGTAGATTTTATGTAGTCAAATTTATGGATCTTTTACTTGAAGTTTCTAGATTTTAAATTATGCTTTAAAAGAATTTCCCCATGCTAATATTTTTTAAAAAGGAAAGCTCTTCCATGTTTTATAATACTTGATCCTTCTGAAATTTATTTTGGTGTAAAAAATAAATTAGCGTCCTAAATATAGGTCATACACATACACAAATATATACACCGCCCCCCAAAGTGGCTATAAGTTGTTTCTGTATCATTATTAAATAATCCATTCTCTCACCCACTGTTACGAAATCGCACTGTTACCGTGTACTATGTTCTTATATGGATTAGCGTCTACACCTGGATTTTATCGCTATAAGTTGTTTCTGTATCATTATTAAATAATCCATTCTCTCACCCACTGTTACGAAATCTCACTGTTACCGTGTACTATGTTCTTATATGGATTAGCGTCTACACCTGGATTTTATCCTGTCTATTCCTGTATCAGTAACCTATTTTAAAGACTGTAGTTTTTACAGTATGTTTTGGTCTCTGCTAGGGTAGCAACACCTCCCCCCCAACCCCTTACTCTTCCTTTTCAGTTTTTTTTGGCTATTCTTGAGGGTTTATTTTTCCAGATTAACTTAGTAAAGTTGTATCAAAGTCCAAAATGGGGCCGGCCCGGTGGCGCACTGCTATAGTGCGCCGCTTGGGAGCGTGGCGGCATTCCCGCCGAGGGTTCAGATCCCACATACAGACCAGTTCCCGCTCACTGGCTGAGCGAGGGGCGGGCGCAGCACCGAGGGTTGCGATCCCGTTGCCGTTCCCGGTCCGGTACGGGCGCGACACTGAGGGTTGCGGTCCGTTGCCGGACACGAAAAAAGACAAAAAGGAAAAAAAAGAAAAAGAAAAAGTCCAAAACGAATTAGGGTAGATTTTGAGTGAGACTACATTACGTTTTTATGTATTTACAATACTAAGTCTGCCTATCGAAAACAAAGAGATAGCTCTACAGTTTGTCCGTTTTTGTTATATCCTTTAGTAGAGTTTTAAAGTTTTCCTCAGTGGGTCCTGAACGTTTCTTTTTAAGTTTATTCCCAAACATACTATTTCTACTATTGAAGATGGGATCTTTTATATTCCAGGTCTTATTATTTGTAAATAGGAAAACTATTGGGGTTTTTTTCTAGTGTACTTTTTCTCTTTTTAAGTTTATTCCCAAACATACTATTTCTACTATTGAAGATGGGATCTTTTATATTCCGGGTCTTATTATTTGTAAATAGGAAAACTATTGGGGTTTTTTTCTAGTGTACTTTTTCTGGATATATTTTCTATTTTTCCATAAAATGCCCAGTGTTATCAAGCTTCATAAGTTTTGTTAATCAGTGATAACACATACAGCAAAATACCAAATGTTACGTAGTATAAAAGCAACACTCCTCACCTTCCCTCTCCCCACCTACACTCCCCTTCCCAGAAGCAATAATTTTTAACTTTCTGCTTTTAATTATCCTGGTTTTTACCATCAAAACTCTAAATAATTTGAGAGAGCTATTGGCTTTGTATATTAATTTCATGACCAGATATCTGATGAATTCTCTTACCATTTCTAGTAGTTTATCTCTAGGGTATTACAGGGATATAGTCATATCATTTGTGGCTAATAATCATTTTTATCTCCTTTTATTTCCAACTTTTTATTGTTTTCTCTTGTCTAATTATATTGGTTGGTACTTTCAGAACATGGTAAAATAAAAATGGCGTTAGAGGGCATCTTTGTCTTATTTCTGATATTGATGGAAATGGGTGTAATGTGTAAACATGTAACCACAATTTTAGTTTTCCTGAAAGTTTTTATCAGTAATGATTGCTGAGTTTCATCAAATGTCTTTTTGTCATCCACTGAGAGGATTGTTTCTTCTCCTATGACCCATTAATGTGGTTAATTATAGTAACAAATTTACTAACCTTAAAATATCCTTGCATTCATAAAATAAACCCTCTTCATTTATGGTATATTATTCTTTTAATGTTCTATTTTATGAAGGTATTTCACCATAAAGAAGATCAATCCACACTTTTTGCTCTGGCGGGATTTGCTATTGTCAGGTTTTGGTGTTTGTGTTATGTTGGTTTTGGAGAATAAATTTACAAGCTTCCCTTATGTTAGATATATTGTCTAGAAGAATTTAAATAGAACTGGAAATTATCTCTTTCTTGAAGATTAGGTAAATTTCACCTGTCTGTGCTTTGTGATTTTTTTTTGGTGTTATCTCTGATCTAAATTTAAAAAGTAACTGCAATGTTTTATATTTTTCTATTAAAAAAATTAAACCCAAATCATATTACTTATTTGTATACAGTCTTTGATTTTTTTCTACAGAATGAGCCCTTATTTTATTGTAAGCTCAGTGAGGACATTGCTATAGTTGTGCCTTCTCATTTGCCACCCAATATGCTACTCTCTGATAATGTACCACAAGACATACCTATCTAAGAATATCAGAATCTCAAGTTATATATCATGTGTAGCCATTCTCTAAGTTCCATATCTTTTTGCCCAGCTGCCTATTATTCAGTTCTCCACTTAGATGTTCCAGACACTTTAGACTCACTATATCTTACCTTTAGCTCATTATCTGCCCCCTCAAATCCTACTGATCTTCTGTGTTCCCCATATTATTGAATGGTACCACCATCTACAGACTGAGTATTCCTAATCCAAAAATCTGAATTCCAAAATGCTCCAAAATCCAAAACTTTCTGAGCACCAACATGCTCAAAGGAAATGATTATTGAAGCATTTTGGATTTTCAGAGTAGGGATGCTGAACCAGTAAGTATCATGCAAATATTCCAAAATCCTAAAAATTCAAAATCCAAAATACTTCTAGTCCCAAGCATTTTTAATATGGGACTCTCAACCTGTTCTCAGTTGCCAAGCTAAAAAAGATTTATTTCCTCCTTTTTCCTTACTCCCCACACTCAATCAATTACCATGCATGCCCTTTCACTCCAGTTTTCTAAATAATTTTTAAATCTACCTATTTCTTTCCATTTCCATTGCCATTACCTTAGTTTAGGTCACCATCACTTCTCATCTGCTTTCTATGACAGCATTCTAGCAGGTCTCTCTGATCCTAATATTCACTCACTCACCATAATACAGCCAAGTGATTTCCCTTCTAATGTAAAAATTAGATCCTGTACTTCCCAGATTAAAATTCTTTAATGACTTTGTATACCCTCAGGATAAAATTCAATCTCCTTAATATAGTAGTCCCTTTTTTTAATTTTTATTTTTTGGCAGCTGGCCAGTATGGGGATCCAAACTTTTGACCTTGGTGTTATTGGCACCATGCTCTCCCAAGCAAGCTAACTGGCCAGCCTTTTATAGTAGTCCCTCTAAGATATAACCCCTCCCTACCTTTCTGATCTCATTGTTTGAGCTTCTCTCCCTCCAACACTATGATCTCGACAAACCAAATTACTTAGGGTTCCTAGATTGCCTACAATGTTTCACTCCTGGGCCTTTGCACATGCTTTTTTTTCTCTCTGAAATTATCTTCTCCCATTCTTGTAGTATAGGTCATGGCTTAAATATTACCTCCTCCTGGAAGCCTTCCCCAAACCCCTAGTCTTGGTTGGATGCTTTCTCCTATGTTCTCATATCACCCTCTGTAAGGACCAGTTTGTAGAGTTCTTTCCTCTCTTTCAGGAGGCTGTAGACTCCTTAGGGACAGAGACTGCTTATTTGCTGTATTCCAGTATACGGCACAAAGCATGGCACACAGTATGAGCTCACTCTATGTTTACTAAGTGGATAAATGAATGAATGAACAATGGCATGGAAATGTGCTGTCACTATGAAGGCAAAAGTGGCATTACTGGACTATCATCTTTAGATCCCATCCCATTATGCTAAATTTGACTGTCTCCAAGCACTTTCATCTGGTCACCCTTGTGACCCTGGCTCACATATGGGAAGCAGCTAAAATTGGAGTAGTGTATAACTGAATAATGAAGAGATCTGAAAAAATTGCAACTCTGAAGTGTCTGTACAACAAGAAATCAAGGAACGTTTCCTACAGCAAGAGATGCTTAATTATATTACCGTAGCTGTCTGATCATTACTTACTAAAGAAATGTGGTTCTCTGGAGAAATAGTACTAAATTTGGCAAGAAATTTCTCAGCAGCATTTCTCTTGGCTTGTTTTTTTGATGCACCCTTTCCTAAATAAAGAAAAAGAAATGGTAGATTTAGAAAAGAAATTAGTGTTCATAGAGGATGATCAAATGTATATAGTATTATGTCTAATCAGAGAAGAAACTCATGTTTTTTCTTTAACAGTTATATTTCCCTATGTCTAGCTTTAATGAACCATATTTAGTTTAATTCTGACCGATTATTCAGATTTATACAAATACATTAGAATTACAGCTCCTATCTGTCAATGTCTATTTCCTGCTTATGATCTTCTGTAAACTGACAACCATGTGGAATTTCTTGCTTTAACATGAATAAGAAAGGCATTGGAGCTGCTGGAATTGAAAGACACCATCAGTTATCTACTTCTATGCCTTTGTTTTACAGATTTAAAAACTGAGGGTGATTAAGTAATTTGCTTATCCTTGCAAATCAAAGACTAAAGGAAGCCGAGGTTCCTGCTTTTGGCCCAGTACTTTCTGTAGTGGCCCATGCTACCTCTCAAGGGTAAACAGTGCCTATTAGTTGAAACTAATATATACCTAAGGTAAAATCCCATTTTAAGCCACTTTAAAAATGACAAAAACATGCCGGCAAAGTTAACACAGGAATTCTCACTAGTACTTTTTTATATAACTGCTTTTTCTCATAGTTTATAGTCCTTCACAACACAGAAGTTGCTATTATTAAAAAAGATCATTTCTACTTTTAGCTCACTATAATTTTTGCCTTCTAATCTCTTAAAAATCATCTCAATTTCAAATGTAATCTTTTAGTCCTATTTTCTAGAATAGCTGTTGAAACTCCAAGAGTTTACTATTTCTTTTTCTCCAAAATGAGTTTTAAGTCACCAAAACATCAATAAAAATTAAAGTACAGAGCCAATAATTTGTCTTTCTACTAACAACCTGAAGCTTAATAATAATAATAATAATAACTTATTTATACTTAAATTCAACCTTAGATAGTTAGAGATAATAGGAGTGCATCAAATTTTTTTGCCCACAGAAATATTTGAAAAGATATTACAACAGAAATTTCTATGGTCATTCATCACCTGAAAATATTTCAAAAGTCTTTAATTATAAGAAATAAGTACCAGTTTCCATAAATGATTCTAGCCTGCAAATTGTAGTATATTCTCTCTTATGAGCAGGTCCTCCCTCCTGGGAAAGGGTATATTCAGGAAGTCTCCAGCCATGATGAATAGCCAATTCCTATAACATCAAAATGAGGCTTTAATAGTAATTTTAACTATGTCATGACTCAATCACAAAAATGATACTCTTTCTTGATTTTGATTCCATTTCTATTTATATATTTGAAAAGGATAATGATATTCTGCAATGGAAAAATGAGGGAAGATCCTATATTTCCCACATTTTATATCTTTATACCATAATACCAAAACTGAAGCAGCTTTGTGCTATGAATGGCATTCTTCCATTAAGCCATAGTGAGCTGATATCGGAGTTCAATTAGAAAGACAGGCTGTTAAGACCTTTTTTGGGAACACTAGAGGAGACACTAGAGGCCTCACTGCCATCAGTTCCTAAAGCTATAGATTTCCAAACTCGCATCTGGCTAACCGCTGCATTCGATCAACAGCAGATGAGGAGCAGAGACATCAACAGACTCAGACAAGGTTGAGGACAGACAGAAAAACTCATAGAGCAGGAAGAAGAGCACAAAGGACTGGGTGGGTAATGGGGAAGGGAGGGTCCAAGAGAGCACACGGATAATCTGCAGGAAAGATATTCTGCAAGCAGAAATTCAAAGCTAAATATATGTGTGTGTGCGCGAGCGCATGTGTGTGTGTACACACACATTTTTTTTTCCTTTGGTAGAATAGGCAATAAGTAGAATACTTCCTTTTTTTGAGTTAGGTTAGTCAATATGGACTCTTATAAAGTCTTCTGTCTCAACAGAAGCAGAAAGGTTTGACACAAGAGTGGCAAGAAATATTCATAAAGTATAAAACACTCTACCCTGAGGTCCTGTTGATCTCAAATGAGAATTCCACAAACTGAAAGAAGATAATGTATATAGGAGAAAATCCAAAACATAAATAAATAGGAATATAATTTCAAGATAGTTCTGTCATATCTAATACCATAACTTGGAAAACAAAATATTTCATTATCTTATCTTTAAAATATTGATTCCTTGTCCTAGTCTCTGTGATATTATCAAATTATTATATCTTTTATCATTAGACAAAATGTTAAGTATGGAAAAATTGTACAACTTACCTGTAATAAACCAATAGGATTAAGCTGGTTCTTCGGTTGCTTGGAAGGGTCAGGCATTAATGGGTCAGGAACTGCAAAGCTAAACATTTTTCAAAAGTGTTATAAAACAAAATAATTTCCTGCAAATTACTAAATAAATGACAAGCATTTTCTGCTTAACCCTCTATGCCTTTGCTCTTGTCATTCCTTCTACATAGAATGTCCTTCTCTCCAGCCTCTTTTATGGGACTCTGATCTATCTGTCATCCAAGGTATATCTCAAATGTCACTTCCTCTAAGAAGCCTATCCTTTTACCCCAATGGATCATAATCTTTCCCTCCTTTTAACCATTTAACATTTGGTTTGACCCTTCAAGGAAATTGTTTTACCAAAAATTACACACTCTTGGGGCCGGCCCGGTGGCGCACTGCTACAGTGCGCTGCTTGGGAGCGCGGAGGCGCTCCCGCCGAGGGTTCGGATCCCACATACAGACCGGCCGCTCACTGGCTGAGCAAGGGGCGGGCGCAACACCGAGGGTTGCGATCCCGTTGCCGGTCCCGGTCCAGTACGGGCGCGACACTGCGGGTTGCGATCCGTTGCCGGCCCCGAAAAAAGACAAAAAGGGGGAAAAAAAAAAAATTACACACTCTTGGGGCCGGCCCGGTGGCGCACTGCTACAGTGCGCTGCTTGGGAGCGCGGAGGCGCTCCCGCCGAGGGTTCGGATCCCACATACAGACCGGCCGCTCACTGGCTGAGCAAGGGGCGGGCGCAACACCGAGGGTTGCGATCCCGTTGCCGGTCCCGGTCCAGTACGGGCGCGACACTGCGGGTTGCGATCCGTTGCCGGCCCCGAAAAAAGACAAAAAGGGGGAAAAAAAAAAAATTACACACTCTTACAAATACAACATCCCTCACCTCCTCTCTCCCCTGTTCAGACTGTAAGTTCCCTGATGGGAGCACCTGTGTATAGCTCACCTACATAAGTTTTGTAGTGTCTTGTACGTAATATGTGCTTAATAAACATATATTTAAAGTACACTAACATATACTACACAAAAAAGGAAGACTATCAGCCAGGAAATTTAACCTGACTGTGGGGATAATACAGATCATAAACGTTGTTTTTCATCCAGATAACTATGGAAGAGTGATCTGTTTGATCTATCATCTGCTGGGTACAAGGATAATCCCCTAAGATTTATATGTATCCTGCATAAAATAGATGGCCTGCATGAATCTGGTTTCAGCATGTGGGAATTGTGATTAGGGAAAAAGAGAACAATCTCTTTTAGGTAGTCTGAAATTACTAGTTACTTGGGAGACCAGTGTCTCATGTGGAATAAGCTACACTGTTACCACGTAGGCAACTGGAGAGTCATTTCTTCCATGACAGATGAGGTTTAGCTGTTGCCACCTCCTCAAGTTTCTTTTCCAACTGCCAGAATTTTAAGCTTTACATAAGCTGATGAGATGTGAGTATTCACTTACAATGCTGCATGCTGAAGCTACCCAAATAATTGTGATAAAGAAGTGAGAAAGTCTGTATTAAATTGGGCCACTTTAGGCCTGATTACAGCTTAGTAATTCCCATATTATCCATCAAGAAGCACAGATATATAGTAAAGTTTGTTAGCTTTTTTTGTTGACAAAGTGAAGTGCCCATGTGCAGAAAGGACACTCTGTACCCTCATTTCTACAAATGTACTCAACACTTTGGGTTGACCTTTGGGCAACACAGAAATAGCATGGCCATCGCCAGTGGGAGAAGAACCCAATACTTGCTGTGCCACTTGGTGTATCTTGAAAGCTAGCATAAGTTAATTATAATGCATGACCCTAGAGAATCAAGTATTATCTTGTGAAATCCAAGGCTTGTCTTAGGCAAGTGCTTTTCTATGGGGTTGCCAATGGCTGATTCTAAACTATGCAAAAGGTGTAGAATAACTTAGGAAAAGAGAGGAATACTGGACAAGAACCCAAATACACCCTTAATCCAAAATTCTTGCTATGGCTGGGGAAAAAAAAAACCATCCCAAATTTCCATGGGCCTATGCTGTCAGCCATGAGCAGATAATACTAGACTGTACTTCAAACACATTTAAGTGCACTTAAGGGAAGAATCTGAAGGCATGCCATGTTCCAGAGTGTGCCTAGTGGAAACCAAAGGACACCACTTTATGACACATGAGATGCTCCATGACCAATACTCTTTCCAAAAGCACCTAAAGTGGTAAAAAAAATTTAATTTGGAAAGATATGTCAAGAATTAATATCCCACTTAACATTCTCTTGTATTTGGTATAAATTTTACAATAAAAGGAAATCTGTTTCCTTCTTCCAAATTGGAATTCCTAAAAGAACACTTTTAGCCGATCTTTTTCCATTTCATACCTTGTTTTCTTCAGTGTAGAAATAAGCACATCTTAATACAGACTATTATTATTTGCCAGAAATACTCTGGATTTCTACTGTTGTATCCCATTCCCCCCCCCCCGCCCCCAAAATGTAAAGTCTAGTTCACGAGAGCCTTCATTTAATAGCTAATTGCTGGACTTAATTGGATAAAGTTGTTTTTAATGGATGATGTTTTCACAAGAAAATAACATTTTAGAGCTAAGTCACTAATGTCTGTTCACCTTGCTGTTTTTGTAAGCATATTCAAATTTTTAATCCTACCTTAGCCATGATATTTTTGAGCTGCAGAATAGAAAGAAATTTAGCTCACCAAATACTTGCATCCAAGTAGTTGGGTATGGCTGAAGTGTCAGAGCTTTATGGAAGGAATTTTGAGATAAAGGGCTAGAGAGCTGAGAGGTGAGGGAAGAGGTACTGTAAATTTGTGCTTTTCAAATTTTAATGTGCACAGAAATTGCTTGGGAATTTTGTTATAACTTATACTCTAATCCCATACATCTGGAGTGGGCCTGATATTCTGCATTTCCTTCAAGTGCTCAGGAGATAGCAATACTGCTGTTGTCTATACTTTAAGAAGCAATGTTGTAAGTCATGTTAAGAAATTTGCATTTATCCAGAGGTTGATAAGGAAACCACTGAATGGACTAAGAAGAGGAAGACAAATTAGAATGCTGGAAAGAACACTGGTTGTTGTGCGGAGAGTGGCTATCATGAGACCAGAAGACAAACAAAACAGCTCTGACTATAGCTATAATGCAAGTGAGAGATGACAGTGGCCTGGATGGGAAGAAGAAGCAGACAGATCCAACAGATATTTAGGAGATGGGGTTTAAAAACAGATGGACAAGATGGAAGGAGACAGGAAGGAGTCAAGAAGATGAAACCCAAATGTCTACTGAGCAACTGGGTGATTGTGGTGCCTCTACAGAGAAAGCAGGGGGAATGGGTTTGAAGGAACAGATGAATTCAACTTGGGACCATGAGACTGAGGTGCCTTTGCACCATCAAAGAGAAGATGCCCTTGCACCATCAAAGAGAAGATGCCCAGCAAGCACAGGTTGATAGCATTGTTCTGTAACTGCGCCTGGGCTGAAGATAGAGATCTTGGAATTACTAGCCTTTTGATGGTATTTAGAAGAGTCATGGAGGCAGATAAACTTACACAGGAAGACAGGGTAATATGAGAGGGAAAGGGGAACCATTTGTGAGTCCAAATGGTTGCCATAGGTTTGCTAAACCCTGGTCTAAAACACACTACTAAAGCGGTAATGCAGTGTTGACCGGATGGTTCACAGGACGAACCTTCCAGCAAGCACCTACGATCACATAGACAAAAAAGCTTCAAAATTTTCTAAAAGTGGCTTCAATGAAAATAAAGGACTCCAGATTTCCAGAGAAACAAACAAATGATGCCTTCAGATTACCAGATGGTGGAACAGTAGTCTTCCTACTAAATTTTTTTGTTGGCATTCTTCCAAATTAAATTTAGTATTCAACACTTTTTGTGTTTGCAATTAAACAGATACATAAAAAAGTCCACTTTTACAAAATAGCAACTTCAGTTATTTGCTCAAGCTCACAGACCAAAAAAAGTCTGAACTTTGAAACTTCAATGCTATGTGACCTTGGACATTTTACTTATAATCTCTCTGAACCTATTTCTTCATGTATAAACAGTATAAAGAAGGGGATACTATCTTATACCAAATAATTGTACAGTTTCAGGCACTAGAAGCTGCTATGCAATATAGTGTATGCGGAGCCTTCTGCCCTTCCTCATTTTGCTTAGATACAGAATCAAGAGGAGTATAATAAAGCTAAAGTGCCAAATGAGTCCTATATATAGAGAGGAGAAGCTCAGGAATTTCTGGGGTCACGCCTCCTGGCATCTACTATAATCTATGACACTACGAAACTTGACAGCATCTACTGACCCGGCATTGACTGCTCCAAGAACCTTTCCCGCTTCTCCCAAATTCTTAGACGAACTCTAGGAGCATCCTAGGGTATGAGAGGAGGCTTACAGGATGTTTGGATTACTTTTCAGTTTCTGAGCTTCCGTTGTATCCGGGGAAGAGAAAATTTAAATAGAGAATCAGATAAATCTGGAAAATCTTAATGATGTAAGATAAGAGATCTCAGTTTCAGATTCTGCTCTCTGTAGCTGTCTCTGTAAAAAAGGCACCTTTCTCCTAACTGAAAAGCAACACCAAGTCTCGGTCATCGGAGCTAACTGTGCATACAGACCTGTGCAGGTTACGTCACCAACGGTTACTCTGAAGGTGAACGTTGGCACGTGTATTTGCACATCGGATCTTTCACATTCATAAACCGGGACGTTCTTGGTCTTCATGCCATATTCGTGTAATACCTGAATCGGTGTTTTCCCTGGCTTGGCTGTTACCATCTTCCCCAAACTGCAAAAACCAGAAAAAGGTGTGCTTTGTATGCCAAAGCGGAGAGGCAAGCAGAAGCATACAGAGGCCAGTTTTGACCAGCGGTGGCAGAGAAGGCGCCTTCAATCGCTGGCGGCCAGGACCAGAGCTGGCGAGGCCAGGGGACACCTGTCACCGGCTCCGCTGCAGCAGTCACCCGGCAGCGGCGAGCAGGGTGGGGGAGCTCTTTAAAGAGAGAGCTTGAATGCGGGTAGGAGGGATTCTCAGGGGAACAAGGAAGGCACCGGCTCTGCATCCTCTCAGGACCTAGCCCACGATCCCTTTCTGGGCGCAGCGACCTCACGCCATATTTGCCCACCCCGCGCACCACCCAGGCCCACAGGAGGGGCGGGGCCCAGCCGCAGACCCCGGGCCGAGCGCCCGCAGCGCCAGGAAGGGGCTTTACCCAGAATGCCGCAAGAGCCGGCGCCTCCGCCCCCGTCCCCGCTGCCCATGCTGCTGGCCCTGCGGCCCCGACCGCCCAGGCGCTGACCTCAAGGTCCCGCTGTCCCCACGCTCCAGCGGCGGGGCCCCGGCGCGACGCCCACCCTGGGACACGGCGAGAAGGGGCCGGCCGG